AAAGTATTTTATGAACCGTTCAGAACTGTTGCCAAGTGCTGACCACACCACAAAGCAAAACTTGTACAAAAAGCTTAGCTCATGATATAAATCAGCATTTGCGATTGTTAATGCCTATTTATAATACTAACCAGCAAATTCGAGCACAACAGACAACATTTACAACAATTGCAACAACAGCAACAGCAACAACAACCAATGAGCAACACCCGCGCTTATTGCATGTAATCGCAAATTTCTTAATCCTAATCCGACTTGTGGCTCGTCAAACATTCAAATAGTTCTGTTCAGCACTTTTAATACTCTGGCAATAAAACGAAATTATCAAATAGAATAGCTTGTAATATTAAAATGAATATAGACTATGTTATGTAGAGTTTTGGAATTGTGAATCTCTATCTCTCTCTCTCCCTCTCTGAATTAAGTAAAGTATTATGAAATGACAAATCTCGACAAACCAAATTAAAGACTAAAAGTGTCGTAATCTCATTAATTTATTATATTGATTGAAAATTATTTCAATCATAATTCTAATGCATAAGCAATGTAATTTGCCTACTAAGCACTTAATTCAGGAATACAATGTATGCAGCTAAAGCACAACATGGAAATTGAACAACTTGTAAGCTAGTTGGTGTCCCCTACAGTTACTTACATAACAACCCATGCTTAAATTAATAGAGGAATTCGTTAGAAATAAGAAATATTTCATCAAAAATGCAAAAATGTAATTTCAGTTAAGAACTAACAAATTAATTGTTTTATGAATTTAAATTTTACTATTTCAAAATAATAATATATATATATATATATATATAGAGAGAGAGAGAGAGACAGTGGCAAATTATAGTATAAACAGAAAGTGCATACAGACTTCAGCATTTTGAGATACAAACATCTCCATAGATCTGCTTGTTTGTTTGCAGTTTGTTTTGGTTTTTGGGTTGGGTTGGGGCTGGGATCTGGTCATGTGCAGTCAATTGGTGAGCGTTGCCAATTCGATTGGCCAAATGAAATGATTGCCACAATATTTCATCATGCAGTGCGCTGGCAGAACATCGCAGCAGGGATATCAGTTGGCATAGAGTATCGGGTATCGGGTTCGGCTACAGTTCAGGCTTTAACTTTTTTAATGCACAAATAATTAAAAAATAGTTTAGCTTCAGCATAGAAAGCAAAAGTGGACGTTAAAAGCGAAAGAGCGCAAAACTGGTAAAACAGCTTGCCGCAGCGGCAGCAGCAGCAACAACAACATTGAGAGTTGACTTATTGGAGCACTTAGCTCAATTCTTGTTATTGTTACTGTTAATAATACCAACACAAACAAACACAATTACAACAACAGCAACAGCTACAGCAACAGCAACAGCAACAAGTCGACCAGCTACCGCCTAGGCGGGCCATGAGTTTAGCCCATGCCGTAGCCGTTCCAAGGTTTTCCCAGCTGGCTGGCACTATAAAAGCTTGGGCGGCACCATTGCGGAAGGCAGTTGACTTACAAAATCCATAGCCGTCGGTCTGACACTCTGGCTAGTGTCGCATTCGATATACAGACAAATCTCCTTGTTAACGGACTATAACAGCGTAAAGGCAGCAAATCGCGTGTGATTCCGACTCCAACTCGTTCAGCGTGCAGTTTACGTAGTAGCTTATCAAGGATAACCCCAAAACAAAATGTTACGCTTCGTGAGTGTGTGTGTTTATGCGTGTGTGGGCTTAGCTAATGGTTATCTTTTTGTCTTTTGCTGGTGCAGCTCGCATTAACAACACTCGTGACCCTGGCAGTGGGCCAGAACTATCACCAGGATCCTAAAACGGCTGCCATCATCAGTGAGCAGCGTTATTTGTCAGGCGATGGTAAATTCGGTGCCGCCTACACACAGGAGGATGGCATCAACTTCAAAGAGGAGACAGACTCCGACGGCACACGTCACGGCAGCTACAGTTATGTAGATCCGTCGGGACAGCGTCGCACCATCTCCTATACTGCGGGCAAGAATGGGTAAGAATTCAATTCACTTTAAAGCTAATAGTTTATTACAATGTATGTTCGCTTACATAGCTTCCAAGCTTCTGGTGATCATTTGCCAGTGGCACCACCCGCACCACCACAGCCTGTGCCCACCGCCGGATATCAGCCACAGTCGCAGTACCAGCCACAGCAGCAGTACCAGGCCCCAGCACCTCAGGCCTCATACCGCAGCAACGACTACGATGATGGCTCGTACGATCCTCGCTACAATGATCCCGCCTTCGGCCAGCAGCAGCAGTCATATCAGCAGCCCGCTCCTCAGCCACAATACCGTCCGGCGCCCGTGCAGCCCGCTTATAACCCGGCTCCACAGCCCACCTATCAGCAGCCTGCCCCACAGCCACAGTACCAACAGCCACAGCAGCAGTCCTATTACACGACGACCACGCCCAATCCTCACCGCTTCTCGCCGCCCGGCAAACTGTCGCTGAACCGCACACCCGACGGTTTCACCTACTCGTTCAACAAGGTTTAAGCGATGGAGAGAGAACCACATAGATTGAGCTTGTTTCTATTGTAATGTTACGTAATCTTTCATTTATTCACAACCAACACGAAACACTCCTCTCTCTCTCTCACACACTTTCTATCTCTGTCCTCTATCTCTCTAACTGTCTGACTCTTACTCTTTCATTTCTTAAACTCTCTCAACCACTTACTGCTGTTCCAGTTCTTACCTTCATCAAAACTCTTTTGTGATATGTTTAAGAAAGAAAGTAAAAGTGTTGCAAAAATTCTGCAGCAGCCTAATCTTATATATATGTATATATATATATATATATATATATATATATATATATATATATATATATATATATATATCGTACCTCCTATCTACGAACCTGTATGTAGTATGTCTAGCAGTTTTTGTTTGTAATTTATATAAAGCTACTTCTCAATGCTGTTAAATCCAACTCTACTCTCCTAATGTGAAGCGAAACCAATAAATTTGTAAGTGTGTTTGCGGTCAAAGATGATGAAGAAGAAGACGTTGATCAAATGAATTCTATAAATCTTTCAATGCTAGATCGTAATACCCAGCACGGGCCACGGGACGTATTAGCAATTTTTGTATTTTGTATTTTGTGTTGTACCATAAACAATTTATATAGTCTTTTAAGCAATACACAATATTTCATACGTACCGCTAGCAACTGCTTATCTCTTTTTATTCGCAACAAATTTGTTTTTTTACTTTGTTTCGGGCGTGTGGCGTTTACGAGTAATTTAATTTTTAACAGATTTATCTAAACACCTTGCCCGGTTGACGCCCCCATGCACATTGCACAACCAACGGCTGTTAGACATAACACATACTAGTACATACATTGGGAAACAAGTTTCTGCATCGATTCTATGCAACAAACAAGGAAAGGCAAAAAACTGGTTAGGCATTGGCACAAATCGTGGCCAATTGTGCAAAAAAGAAAGAAAAAATAGAAAAAGTTAAAAATAAAAATAATTTGCCACCAGCTGAATTCCAATGAAAATCGAAATTGAATATCTCCCACACCTCCCGGCCAAAGAACCGGCAATGGTATGTGGAGTCAGATCCGCATTGCTATTTATAGAGATAGAAGTACTCCATCATAATGCGGTATCTAGCTTGTTAGCTAATTGTTTCATATGTCATATATATAACGTATAACATATCTGTCAATTAGCTCTACTCTAAATGCTGCTATTAGAATTGTTTTAGAGTGTTATAGTGTACGAGGTATATTTCTCTCTAATTATGATATTAATTTAGTTACTGAGATAAGTATATTTTTATAATTATAAAATCACTCAGTAGCTAGATGAATGCTACAAATACAGTAAAATATACCTCATACACATTAGCAATCTAAAACAATTCCCATATCGATTGTCTGTTCTTAACTTTATACGTAATAATTTTACCTTGCTATATGCTCACATTGCTCAGCCATTCGATTTGCCATGCTTCAGTTGCTTTATTGTAATTCATTAAGTATGCACTAATATTTTGAGCAGTTTGCTCAATTATATGCCCCATCGATTTGCCATGTCGAATCGCAGCTCGCACTACAGTTCACCCCGCCGCGGTTCACCGCAACAGGTGTTGACTGTAATCAAGTTAACTTTTCACTTCTGTTGCGCGCATTCTTTGCACCACCTCGTGGCTTGTGATTTGCTTTCAAGGTCAGTTTTGTTGTGGCTGCGCCTCGAAGTCCGCTGTTGCGAGTATGGCTGTTGAAATTGTTCAGTCAATTAAGAAAATCAATTTTGCTTTTGTTTTCGTTATACTCACTTATTTTATTTTTTGAATTTTTGTTGCCATATTTGTTTATATATTTATTATTATTGTTGTTGTGGTTGCAATCGTGTGAGTTGCGCAACTGCGGATTTTCGATCAAATTTGTGAAAGAATTTGTTGTACCTACCTTTGGGATAAGCTAAGAATGAGTGTCCCGATTTGAAACAGGTCTTTTGATTTATTCTTTTACTTACCAAAATAAATACATTTATATTAATTTTATCATTATTGATTTAAAAAAGTAAAAGCTAAAATTGGTGTCAAATTTGGAAGTTAAAATAATTAGAAATTTAAATATATTTTTCATAAATCCAATGGCTCTATATAATTCAATAATAAACTCACTGATATATGAGTATATTTCAAACTTCAAATTATAAACTTCTTTCACTATCTAGCGCCATCTAGTGTTGGAAAGCATATATACGAATAGTATAGTAATGTTTTAAATCCATAGGTGGCGCTGAGTAGCGGGCGTTGCTACTAATAGCATAGACAACAACCAAAATAGCTAAATATTTTAAACATTCTCAATATCTTTTCTCTCATCGTAAGTTCCTGTTAAATTTAAACACAGATTCCTATATTTACATAATTTACATAAAAGTTATTAGATTATAAAGTAAACATATTAAAATACATATTTAAATAAGTACATCATAAGTTCTAAGCCATATTTTTTATGCTGATTCACACATTAATCACCAGCGCAGTCGATCTATACTTCCTTTTCGGCGTGACAATGTGCTTCGGTTTCGGGGAACGCTTTAACACAACGCCAGGCGGACGTCTGTGTGGTCGGCTGCCTTTGGGCGGCGATGGCGGCGGATGCTCGCCACTGAAATTGTTGCTGTGCAGCGGACCAGGGCCGGAGAAGTTTGGTGGAAAGGTTTCAAAATCTTCGATATCCAAGTCGGGCCGCGGCTCATGTGTATTGGATTTTAGGAATTTTTGCAGCTTCGGATTATTGAGCAACTGTAGCTTAATAGCGTCGTCGAGCAGCTTCTGCTGATCTTCTAAAAAAGCCTCAATCTGTTTCTTGGATGCTACGCTCTTATATCGATCATGATTTTTCGAAAGCGTGGGTACATCATAGTCATCGTGATCCGGTTCGAAAACCCTGTACGCAGAATGAGCAGAAGAAGAAGTTGTCTTCGGGGGTGGCACCAAGTGGAAAGGGTCTGCTTCCGATTCATATGCCGCTGGCGTCCACTTTGTACGCTTTGAAGGTGGCTCCACAGCCGGTTCCTCACCAGAATTACCATCGGATGTAAATACCGGCCGCCCGCTGCTCTTATAGGGCGTTGTCGACGCATATTTGTGAGGCTTAGAGTATTGCGAACTGGGGTGGGCCTTCTTGGGAACCGTAATGGGATGTTGCACGCGTATTTGAGTACCTATGGTGTACTCGCGACTATCCTGGAGCGTCTCACCCGAATACTCACCCGAGTAGCGCTCGCTGGAATAGTCATCCTCTTCCTAAAAGTATGAAACTATTAGTTGGCATTCAAAACGTTATGTGTTGTCCCTGTAGCTAACCGAAGTGTAAGGCCTGTAGTGTGTCTTCTTTGGATATTTGTTCGTGACATCGCGGCGCTTGCTCTCATTGATTTGCAGGTCAGAGCGATAGCCAGGCGGTCCACTAGATGCAGACATCAAGCGCACGGGTCCTGGTGGACCCACCGAACTGTAGTAGCTGCGCCGAAAGAAGGATCTGGGTGGCTTCATTCCCGATGTTAATGAGCCCAGCAGTAGTGCAGCTCCCAGAAGCTGCAATGGAACAAATTACGGATTAGCAAACCACTTTAAGCTTTTGCAGCCAAAAGAGTCGTCGCTTACATTCCAGCAAAGTCGCATTTTGTATGGGTCTTAGGAGTTCACACTTAAACTTCACTCGCAGCGGCGATTCACTAGGTTTTTCGCTAACGTAACAATGAAATAACAAAATTACGAAATTGATTTCAAGTCCGCTGAAAGTCTTGCGCAGCCGCGTGGTTTAAACGATACTGAAAGTCTTGGCAATGGACACAACGGTTTTATGCCAGCTTCCTTCCTATTCCAACGAACCAAACGCGCTGCCGCAACATGTTTTGCAACTAGCCCGAAGACGACAACTGTGGCCAGCAAAGAGAGAAAGATTGAAATCTGCGCACAAGTGAACAACTCACGTTTCACGCATAGACCTGGCCAACACTGGGAGGAAGCTGCGGCCCCAAACACAACTCGACTCGAGCTGGTGGCAGGGGCTATGGGATGGCCAGCGGTATCATCATTTGCATATCCAGTAGGAAGTGGAGCAGGCGGTATAAATAAAATGTTGTTTATGGCTGTAATTGCAAGTAACTATAACCATTTGTTAAACGTTGAGACTGGTTTGGAATGCGAGTCTTATTAGCTGGCCAACTAAGTAGAGGGAGGTAGCGGTATAGCCGACCTCAAGCGAATGGCTCTATCTACCTCTAAGATCTGTTTTTTTTTTGTTTGTTGTTAACTGGTTTAAAGATGTGCCCACTGTGTGTGTGTGTGTGTGTGTGTTACCCAATAAAAGTGGTTGCTGCCACTTGCACTTTTTTGGCGGTTCGCTTGGCCTGAAGTTCAGGTTCAGCTGTGCCAGGAAATGCTGGCAATACATGTCTCGGCCTTTTGGTGCTCAAGCTTGGACTACTTTCTAGCAAGGCAGGATGCGACACAGGCGCAATGCGGAAAATGTTTTGTTTAATTTTTTTTTTTCGTATCTCTTATGTTTGGCATTTTGGCATGGTAGGTGGAAGTGGAAATTGGAATTGGACAGTGTTCAATTGCATAACATTTCATCACGCGCCATTTGCACAACTGTTGGCCAATGTTTTCCGTTACGCTTATCCTGTTTCGTTGTTGTTTTATTCATTTTGCAATTTGCTTTTGTTTCTTTTTTTATATTTTTAAACAATTAAATGCATGCCCCTAATGAAATAGTTGCTTAATGTCACTTTGATTGATGCATTTGGTGTTGCATATATAATTGGCCAATTAATGCTGACTATGCGCAGCATTTTCCTTCCATTTTCTAGCAAGGTCAAGCTCAAGTTCAAGACGCACGTTGCACGACAGTTCCAGCAGCAGCAGTTGGTGCAGCACAGAAAAAGGTGCAGCTAACATTCGCTCGTCATAATTTCCGTTTTCATTGTGAACGAAATTAACTCACCTGGCCGGCTAGCTGTCTGCTGGCTGGCTAACTGGCAGGCCGTCTAGCTGGGCAGCTGAAACTGAGCTTGTTTCAAGTGCCGTTAACTGTATAAAGTTCAGTCAACGTATTTTTGGTGAAATGAACATTTAAGTGAAAGGCTCCAGTTTCAGCTTCAGCTGACAGAGTCGCCTCTAGCAATCCCTGACTGCCTTTGGTCATGCGACATTAAAGCTCAGTCTAACTCAACTATAAATTACACTAATGTGCACTAAAATTCATTTACTCACTTTATTTTGTGCATAAATTAATTGTCTACTCTCGAATTTACAGAAGCATTTTATTGTTACTCCAAAAGCTTAGCAATTTAAATTTAAATTACATCTATTTAAATTTTTGCTTTCATTTCTTTGTAGTTTGATTTGAAGCTACGGAAATCCTTTCAATGACCGGATTAAATGTATATGTATATCTAATTAATTACCAATGCTTAACTCTTAAAAAAAAAATTTTAGTCCAATGTGTTTCAGTGACAAGAATTCGTTAATTATCTCTAGAGAGAATATTTATTTAAGGTCTGCTCAAGCAACGATTGCTTTAAATCAAACGAAAGCTGCCTTATTTTGTTATGATTAGCATTTTTATTATTCTTTTGTTTTTAGCGGACTTAACTAGCTAAATTAATACATTTTGACTGCCCAACTAATAGCAGCAGCAACAGCAACAACAGCAGCAGCAGTAGCATATGTGAAAATTATATAAGATTTGTTGTTCGTTTTTAGGCAAGATCATTAGCACTAGAAATAATTCATAGTCATTGTTGGCTGGCGTGTGTTTAATTTGGTGCGTTGTGGGTGAAGTCGACAACGACAACATCAAGAAACAAAACAAAAAACAATGAGACATAAATCTGTCGCTGCTGGCGTCGTAGTCGTCGGCGTCGCAGTCGCAGTCGCAGTTGCAGCCGCAGTCACAGTCGCGAAGCGGCGGTTGATGCATTCAATTAACGTGACACGACGCCAACGTCGAGTTGCATTCAATAAACACAAATATCAAATATCGTATGTTATATATGGTGTAGGGTATATGGTATGTGTACATATTTATAGACGCTGCTTCAGTCTGGCAGGCCGACGTTGATTCGCTGCCCGGCCGAGCGACGGGCTAGCGCAACAGCTGAAGTCGACGCTGACGCAGCACCCACGTCGACGACCAAAGCGTCGCCGTTGAAGCAGAGGCTGCTGCGCAGGTGTTTGCGTGGGTCAGAGGGAGATGTCGCCTCCGCAGCAGCAGCAGCATTATCCACAGCAGTCGATGTTGCTGCTGTACGTGTGTCATCAAAGCGTCGAGCTCTCATTGCTCCCATCGCTGCTGTTGTTGTCAGCTCCGGCAATTTGGGCAAGATTTTCCGTGAGCGTAAGCTGTTGCTGTTGCTGTTGTTGTTGTTGTTGCTGTAACTGTTGCTGCTGTTGTTGTATTCATTATAATTATTATGACTCTTTTTATTATAGTTATTTAACGACTTTGTATTACGACCAGTTTCCACATATGGACCTGGGTGCTGCTGCTGCTGTTGTTGCTGTTGCTGTTGGCCGCTTCCTGTCCGCATATTTGGCAACGACTGCCTCAGCTGTCGACCCTCAGTTGGATCCAAGCTATCATCATAGTAGGCATATTCCGCTGCCTCCTCATTATAGGTGACATGTTTCTTGGCTGGCGCTGAGCTGCGCATGCGCAGCTGCTGCATGCCATTGCCCATGTAGTTAAGCAGGGACTCGTCAGGGTCCTCAATCCAGGGCTGTTGTTTGAGTATTTTCTTGGGCGCCATCATAGGTGGCCTTTGAATCGACTCATATGTCTCCTGCTGCTGCCAGTGTTGGCCATCGTTGAGGGGCTTCTTCGTGACCATGCGCAACTGGGGCGGTTCACGTTCCACGCTCAGATGACGTACGTTGTGCTTCACCTGCAGCTTGGGGCTGTTCTTTGAGTTGAGCTCCACTTCGCGCTTGTTGTTCATGTCCATTTTGGGACGACGGACATTGTTCTGCGTGGTATCCACATCATTAGTGTTGACGTAATCGTAGAACTGTATCTTGGAGCTGTAGGCTTGTTTGCGTCTCGCTGCGCTTGGGTCTATCTCAGCTACGGTCTCAACTGCTGGCAGTGGATCTACATCTGTGAGCTTGGGCGTAACTTCGCGACGTGTTCTGTTCAGCAAACGCGATTTGCTGTTGCTGTGGCTCGGCTGCAGATTGTCGTAGAACTGTATGGATGACTTGGCAAACTCCTTGTGAAACATTTGGCGCGTGTTCACGTCTGGAGTTTGCTCAGCTTGCAGTGAGTTCAGTTTTTGGCTGGCTGTTAGACGTGGGCGTTCGGCGCCAGACTCCAGCTGCAGACTATTGCGTCGCTTGACACGTGTCTCCACGGCGCTATCCACACGCGTATCGTCTGGCCAGAAGAAGTGCGACTCCTGACGATTCTGTCCATGGCCGCACTGCCTCCCCTCCATCTTGGGCGGCAGACCCGTGTAGAACTTTCCATTCAACATTTGTCCGACGTTGTCCGTTCAACTGCGAATTCCGACTGAAACTGATGCAAAGAACGAAAACAATCAAGCGGCTCTTGGCAGCTGCTACTGCTGCTGCTGTCGTCGACGTCGACGTCGTCATCTTCGTGTAGGTGTTCAAGTTTGCTGCGTCGCTGCGCTGTCAGCTCAACTAATTTGCAATTCTTGCGAAAAACAACATTAAGAAAAAAAATCATTTGAGCATTTGAAGTGTTCAATTTATTAGCGACTGCGCAGCTGATTCGACGCCAACAGCGACTGCAACGACGAGTTTCCGTTTAAGGTCAACTTGCCGCATTTTTCGAGCCAGCGAAAAGTTGTTTTTCGTGCGCTGCGTTGACCAAAAATTAATGTTTTTGGATCTCAGATTTGTGCTGAACTGAGCTTCACATAGTCCACCGCCAAGTTGTCTTGTCAATTAAGTCAAACAACTCAGTGAATGAAAAAGTCAGCGAATAAGTGGCTCAATTCTCGAATCGCAATGGCCGAGAACAGCTGCCAATTATTGTTGGCCCGGAATGGAAGTAAAGTTTGAACATGGCTCGAGTAGTGACAATAAGTTTTCTGTACGTTGGCCAACAGGTCGTATGCGTAATATGAATTGTTGTGCAGAGAAGTTGGAACTGATAGAATGGATACATACTTTAGCTAAAGAAGTTTCAACTTTGGAACGTTTTCATAAATTCAAATTTAAAATTGAAATTTTATAAAAGGTAAACAGAAGCTCTCTGTCTCTCTCTGTGTACCTCCCTCAAGAGCATGATAAACTAAACAAGCCAATCAAAATTTTGTTAGATTTTATTGTATTTAATATATTTTCAATCATTTTTCACATTGTTGCTGTAGTATTTTGAATGTGAGTATCATTGAAGGACACTACTACACTACTTACATTATGACATAGGTATTTTCTGCTTGTCTTTCTTCTGTTTTAGACACAAATATTGTATTGCTGTTAGCATAATTATAAACAATTGATTTAAACGCGTACTATTTTACATATACATTCATGCACATCGATTCTTTTGTTACATTTATTTTGTCTTAAGAACTGAAGATGAGTTGAAGAAAAGTTGAAAAAATCTCTAAATACGAACGAAATATCTCAGTTGAATGGCTGCTCTATGTGGGTATTATTGTGTTTTTTAGATTTCAATGGATATGTAAAATGGCTTAGACTACGTAGTTAATGGTGTTTGCATTTGGGTTTCATACACACATAAATCTTACTCTTATGTGTATTGGTATATTTTCTTAGTTATGGATTTTTGAAACTAATCATTTAAAAACGATTTTTATTTCAATTTAAGAAGCATTACATGCGAAAACTTTTTGAAAACTTCTCTCGGCTGGCATATGTTATTTTTTTGTTTGCTTGTTTTTTTTATCTCTTAAATTTAAACATATACTTAGGTGTTCTTAAATTGCATTTTGGTTTTTTTTTTGGGTTTTTTGTTCAGTTATTTTGTTGTTTTTTAAAAACTTTATTTACAATTTGTATTTAGAGCTGCTTCTGAGCTGAGAGGCTAATTGCAAACTTGAAGACGGATCCTGAGGCAGCGCACTTTCCTATCCACTTATCGGGCCAGCAAGGCAACTGCCTTTCTCCCATCGCATCGCCAAATGACAGTTATGAGGCGGCATTAACGGCCGATATCTAAATCGATATCCAATGTCGATATTCAGGGGCCTGGCTAATGAAGCAACGCCTCGAGCTTACTTAAATTTTCCGCATCATTTTCGTAGTACTTAATGAACAAATCATGGCGGGACTCGTTTACTGTTGCTGCTGCTGCTGCTGTTGTTGTTGCTGTTGCGGGGGCAGCATCGGCGACATTACAATTATGTTGGCTGTGGTGGCCTGGCCATATTCGAGCTGCTTCTGCATGGCAATCCCATCGGACTCCGGTGCACGGGTTATAACACAATACTGATTGCCGTTGTAGGTGACGATCGGCACGTTCATGTTGCCGGCAGCATCGGCAACATTGACGCCGATGGTGTTGCCGGCGTGTAGACCAGTCAATTGGGCCTGCATGTAAGTGGCCGCTGTTGGGGAGTTGGCAATGATGTGCGAGACGGGCACTGACACCTGGTCGGGAAGAAGGGATGAAGGGATACAGATAAAAAGATACATAGATTGTGTGAAAGTGACAAAAATTTTCATGCTGATGGCGTGTACTGTTGCGTGTTGTTGTTGAATGGTGTTAAAGGTAGTTGTTGTCATATTTGTTGTTGTTGTTGTTGTTGTTAATAACTAGTTACTTCATGTCCCTGATGAGCGACGCTGTTGCTGATGTTGTTGTTGCTGCTGCTATTGTTGTTGTTGCTATTGCTGCTGCTGTTATTATTATTATTGTACATTGGCGCGCTGGTCTGAGCTTGTTGCTGCTGCTGTTGCTGTTGCTGCTGCTGTTGCTGCTGCTGTTGTTGATGATGTTTTCTGGCCGCTTTCTTGCCGCTAGCTACATGTTGTTGCTGCTGTGGCTGCTGCTGCTGTTGCTGATGGTTGGCATTGAGGATCATCTGATTTTGTATGATTATCTTCTGGTTACGTGCATGTGCCTCCATTTGCTGGCTGTTGTTAAGTATTTGGTTTCGGTTCGCATCAATTTGATAGCCGCGATTATTGCTGTTGTTGTTGCTGCTGCTGTTGTTGTTGTTGTTGTTGCCGTTGCTCTTAGCGATGGCGGCTGCTGGTTTTGTGGACTCTACGACTAACCGTTCCTGTTGTCAATACTGCAAGGATCAGAGAAGGCCAGTTTAGAGCCGCACCGATACTAAACGCTTATGATGCCCTAGGCCCCGCTGGCCGGTAGGCTCAACCGACATTTGCTCACCTCCAGATGACTCTTGGCATGAATGGACCACTCGTCCCTGCTCGAGAACATGCGCCCACACAGCTCGCACGTCCACGATAACTGCTGCTGGTGATGTGGTATGATGATGCCTGGAATCGCTGTCGGCGCCCCCTGCGCTGACTGCACAATGATATTCTGGGCGGCTACCTGCACAGCCTGTTGCTGCAGCTGCAGCTCCAGGCTCTGCTTGTTGTCTTCCGGCGGCGGATCCGGTTGCTCCTTCTTCTTAACCATATTGTTTAGCCGCTTACCGAGCGGTGCGATATTTGTGGGCGTCACGTGCTTGAACTTGTTCATATGGATGACGAGCTTGTCCCGGCGAGCGAAGGCCTTATTGCACACCTGAAATGGACCAAATTGCAACAGATTAGTGGCTGCCAGCAACCTGTGGGGCAATGAAGCCGTTGAGTCTAGTGCTGCTTATACTTCACAAATATAGGGCTTCTCGCCGGTGTGGATACGCATGTGTATGGTCAGCTTGTCCTTGCGCGCCAGCCCCTTTCCACAGACGGTGCACTCGAACGCCTTATTGGTTGCTGCAAAGGATCAGGATTGTAGTCAGTGAATGTGTAGCGTGCAGCTGTGTTTACTCACTTTTTGATGGATTTGTTTTGCGCACGCCGGAGGAGGCTTGCTGCACCTGTTGCAGCGCCTTGAGCCGACTGGCCGGATGCATCGAGCCACCCTCCACATATGGCTCAGTGAAGGGTATCAGATTCGGTTTCGGTATGTTGTAGGTGAGCTGTTCCGCCGCTGACCAGCTACCCAGGCTCTGCAGCACACGCACTCCACCCTCGAAACCCATGCCGTCGTCGGGCACCGTAAAAGTGCTGTCGCCAGCGGCGCCAGCAGCGCCACCCGCTGAGCTGGAGGAACTGATCTGTGGCACTTTAATGGTGGCCGCATAATGTTGCTGCTGTTGCTGTTGTTGTTGTTGCTGCTGCTGCTGCTGTTGCTGTTGTTGCTGCTGTTGCTGCTGCTGCTGCTGTTGCTGCTGCATGTTGCCATTGTTCTGGCTGTTGTTGTTGTTGTTGGCCGTGGGCGAGCTCTGCTGCACAGAGCTCTGTTGCTGCTGCTTGAATTGGATCGCCGCCTGAGCCATTTGCTGTTGCACGGCCATGTGCGCCTCCAGATATGCATTCTTCTGGGCCACCGTCATCTTGTCCATGTTAACGGTGCCGTCCTGCGAATGAACCAAATGGCAATGAAACATTGAGTCAAGTCTCTCGCTCACATTCCGTTCCGTTCCGCTTCGCTGCCACCCCTAAATGGCCGCGCGCAAGTGTTGCGAAATTTCACCAGCCGCCACCCCCAAACGAACGCGCTCAAAACAGCCTGCCCTTGCGCAAAAATTTGCGACTTGAGCTTTTGCTCGGGCGGATTTTCAATGCTGGTGCGGGGCTTGGCGCTGCCTCTGGTGGTGGTGCTGCGGCTGTGGCTGCTGCTGCTGCTGCTGCTGCTACTGCCACTGAAGCCGTGCGTGTGTGTGTGTATGCCGGCCGTTCTCCCTTTGGCGGTGTTTCTTGGTTTGAGGCTTTTCCGTGTCTGCCTAAATGTATTTAAAGCGCGCCAGCGAAAGTTAAGCAAAATATTAGCTCTTCACACACTTTGGCTTAAATGTTTATTGCCCGCTATTCACAGTTGGCTAATGCAGCAGCCCCAAATGCGAACTGTGCCTCTTGCCCCACACCGCGCACACTATTGACATTTTCATTGGCTCAGTTTCGTAGCTTTTCTTTTGCCTGGGTTTCTTTTAATTTCTTTTTTTTCCTTATTTTGCAATGTTGCTTACCACAATTGAAAATCAATAAAAAGCGTTGAGTTTTGTACAAGAATTTGTGTTGGGTTATCTATAGTGTTTGCTCTTCTTTTTTGCAGCTCACAACTTTTGGTATATTTCAGAATGTTATACGAGCTTTATTTTTAGCTACTGCTGTCGTCGCCGTTTACTTCCTCGAGCCAGTGCTCAGCGCCTTTTGTTTGTGTATGTATTGCGAAACTGATTTGGAGTCGACTCGCTCAGTCGCCGTTACCGTCGCCGTCGCCGTCGGCGTTGGCGTCGCAGTCGCAGTCGCAGTTGCGGCCACAGCGAGCTCAATTTGAGTAATTATTTGTTATTCTTCAACAAGAATCAGGAACGGAACGTGCGACGATGACGACAACGACAACGACAACGACCACGACGAAGGCAGCGCTGGAGTCAGAGTCAAAGGCAGACAGATACTGAAGCGCCTGAACTTGAGCGTAAAAGGCGGAAGTGTAGCTAGAAAAAAAGGCATTGCATACCACTCGGCGCACTGCCTGAGAGCTTTCTCTCTCTCGCTCCGCCTCACTCTCTTTCATTCTTTCGCTCACTAGTTTGATGGTGGTTGTTGCCGCGGAACAACTTGACAACGAAACAGCGTCGTCCGCGTAACTTTGACAATGACAATAGCGGAGGCCGCTTATCAGTAAAGATGTCTTGGTTCACTCACCTGAAAGTCTATGGTGGCCCGGACGGCCTGCATAGAGGCGGCATAGTTACGCAGTATATGCTCGTTGCGCACGCAAAGCTGGCGCCATTCGTACAAGTGTTCCAAGCGGTCGAGGCACTGCTCACATATGTGCTTTGGCAGATAGTCGTCCTTGGTTATCTGTTAAAGACCACAAATAAATACGAACAGACACACACTTAGGCACAGCTACTCACACTCGCCTGCAGCAGACTGCGCAGCTTGTAGAGCAATTGGCGCTGTTCCGCCTGCGGCTCAAAGATATGCAGCTTGGTGGGTCCATGGTGTATGCCACACAGGCGGCACAGCTCGGCAAAGTTGCTAAAATTGAGATCCACATCGTGCAGCTGCCCCTCCTCCCCGTAGAGGTGGCTCTCATGTGTTGCGCCTGCATTGTCTAGCAGGTGTTGCTGCTGCTGCTCCAGTTGCTGTGCTGCTGCTGTTGCAGTTGAGTGTTGTATGTGCGACTGCCGATTGTTGATGTTCAACATCACGAATTGCGCGCGCTTTTACTGTAGCTGGTTTAAGTAGTTGCTGCTGCTGTTGGTGCTGTATCTACATATTGTCCGCAATGTATTACTGATTGTAGTTACAGCTGCATGTATACACATACTCATAGTTCGTATACCTAGTGGTGCTTAGTTGACCACCCTCCCACCTGATTGAAGTTGGAAAAATCGATGGAATTGCACTATAATTTATTCAACCACAACAACAGTAATACTAATTGCTGCCAATCAAGTGATTGCCAATTAACTTGGCTGGCCCCTTACAAGCACTGCGCGCCCATTTAGCCATATTTTAATCCCTTATAATTGACATACATTCGAATGAACACACAAAGAGACACACGCTCGCTTACTCACACACACACACACAAGCACATACATGGGGCATGCAACACATAGAAGCATACAACAGATCACAAATGCTTTTTATTTGATTTTTTTATTGAACACTTCGAATGTGGAAAGCACAAAATAAAAACGATTTACGGGATAAAAACTGCTAATGCTTACGATGGGTCGCTGTTGCTGCTGCTCTTCCTGTTGCACTGCCACTTTGCCACTGCCACTGCCACTACCACTGCCACAGTTGAACCACTCTCGAGTGTGAGTGCAACGAGTGCTGGTGAGTGAAAATTGCAAGCTATGTAGCCTGCAGCCTGGGCACGGCGAGTGCGCATTGCAGGACCTCTGAAGGGAGGCGTCCAGTTAGGTGGGCGATTGTGGGGCATTGCATATCGTTGGTTCGTCCAGGTTCTTGTTTGGGTTGTTTGGGTGTTTGGTTGTTTGGCTTTTTTATGTACACCAGCAATTTTTTGTTAGAGTAGAAATGAAAACAAAATGTTTGGTAAATCATAAAAACGCGGGCAACAGGTGCTGATTAGCCTTCAGCTTCTGGTGGTGGTTCGTCAGCAGCAGGTGGTGCCTCTTCAGCTGCTGGTGGTGGTGCCTCTGCAGCTTCTTGTGGTGCCTCTTCAGCCGCTGCTGATGCCTCGCCACCCGGCGGTTCCTCCACATCAGCCGCTGCTTTGTCAACTGCCTCGTCAGCTGCTGGAGCTGCATCAGGTTGACCTCCTCCTAGGTCAGCGTCAACTTTTTGTTCTTTTCGTGGCGGTGTGGCTCCCGTCGGTATACAATCGGACAGCGAAGTACTACCCTGTTCGAACATTGCAAATTCGTCTTCACCAAATACATCAGGAAACTCTTTCTGCTCGGACTGCTCTTCCACAGCCTCTTCGTACACAATGATCTCCTTCCAAATAATCTCCTCATCGACGCATACAGGTTCATCACTCTGCGGCTCCACACGTTTATTAAGATCTATATCTTCTGTACATGGCTCGGTGTGGTCGAATCCACCACAAGTCACACAAGATGATGTAGTTAGTAACAGCGAGCTGTGCGGTGAAGTGCTGGACAGCACAGAGGTAGTGCTCGAAATCTTTTCTTTAGGCTTGGCATCCTTATCTGCCGACTTGTATGTCATGGTAGTCTGTTGCGACTTCTCCTGCACGCACAGATCGGGCACCAACTGGCACTGATTGGTGATCTGCGGCACGACGGGATTACTGCGCATCAAATAATCGGACACACGGATCTTCCAATCCTCCTGGCTGCAATCAACATTCTGTAAAATATCGTAGATTTCCGAAAGCAATGGCTTCAGCATTGGACGACAGCGAAAGCGATTTTTATCGAATAGTTCAATGGGCTCGTGGATATCTGAATAAATTACAAAATCAACATTAGAAATTATTGAGATCTGTGGCCTGCAAAACTTACAGTTCGGAAATATAAAGGTTATTTCGCGGGCCACACTATTCAAATGCTTAGTTACGTGGATATTGCGTTCCAGCTCCGAGGCGGTGCCACTAAAGGTCAACTAATTCAATTCAAATTGTGTTGCAATTGTACTCAACTTACAAATAACATATCATAACATTCAGCAGGTCCTGTACTCCGTTCTCTTTGGTAAGTATAAAGGCCTCGGAAACACCCTTAGAGAGTAATATCACCTCTAGCATGAAACCCTTCTCATCCACAAAGTCTGAATAGAACTCGGCTGCCAGCTCAGGCGAAAAATTTAACTTGCGACTGCCCTGTATCTGAAATCCGGAAGCTAACACCTTCAGCAGCACCGGACGACGCTTCTGCATATAGTCCGGCTTGATTATAAGCAGCGTGTCCTGAAACATTCTTAATCACAAATATAAATTATGGTGTATTTCTCAAAGTGCTTCAAAATAAATTTCAAACATGCGCACTGTTTTATATTTTTCAAAGATTTATTTATCAGATTTTATTCTCGTTTTCATGTTTTACACTTTAAGTCGACTTATGCTACACACACTTTTGATACTCGTTTCTTTATTACGTAGGTCGAACCAGTTTGATTATTCGCAGACTGTTCCGTTTTATCGGTTCATATGATATATTTTCTTAGGATTGCAGCAATACTATTATAAAGTGAATTCACGTTTACGTGGTTTATAAAAAGTACATGACCGGAATTGGCGTGTTTACAATTACAATTTTTATTTAATTTAAGCCCGTTCGCATTTCCTTGCTAAAATCAATCGATTACAATTCTCGCATTCTCTTTTTAACTATCACCTACAATTTCTTTCTCGACTTAAGCGCAATGTAAAGTAATTGAAAATGTGAAAAAAAAATTATAAATTTGGAGAAGAGTAAGTAATTTCAGATCATTTACAGTCACAATGGATTAAAACATGTAAGCAAATAAGTAAAGATATAATATATATTTATATAAATCGTGGCGCTTCTTTGCGACACATCACAAGGCCGTTGCGTTTACAACATTTTAAGCTGTAATTAAAAAATTAAATAAATTAACGAAAATGAATATAATCTCTTCTCAATCATCCAATATACCTGAAATTCTGGCAAAGGCCAATGCGGACTTCTCGTTGTCGAAGCATTTGCCTATCTCAGCACAGACGTGCGACGAATCGACATAAGGACTCTCGGACAGATTCATAATGCTGTAGCCATAAATGGTGATCATTTGGGAGCACTAAAATTTAAGCATAAAATAATTTAAAATACAAAAATGCATCAATATCCTATAATGTCTACTTACAATGCTGTAGTACTTGGCTGGCAAGTCCTCGCAGGCTTGTGAGATCATGTCCTGTGTGGTCATTTTATCATGATCCTTCTGTGAACGGAAGAAGGGAAACAGGGATTGTGCAACGCCATGACAAACACCACACTCAATCACATCGTCGGTGACGGCTTGGCTAAAGCAGAGCTGCAGTTTCTGGCACACCTCTTTCGGTGGCACCTTGCTCAACAGACTAATAATGGCCGAGGCGTAGCCATCGACAAAGGTGTCACATTGCTTGCGTATGGTGCTAGGCAGTCGTTCACAAACTACGCGAATGGCTTTCTTGATTTCGTCCTGTTCCGTTTTGTTCCGTAACTCCGTTTCCAGTTTCGTCATTACAAATTCACACAGTACACAGGTGGGCGGTTCATCAACCTTAGTTGACTCCAAACGCGACAGCCTATCGACCTGGTGCTTGGGCATCACAATTACATCGTATTTCAAGGCCTCATCGATTTCAACTGATAATTGAGAGCGAACATAAATTAAGTATATATATAGATTTTTAGGTACATATGTTGTGCACTTACGATCCTCCTGCTCACCGCCCAAACACATGCCAATCTCAGTGCAAATAATTTTGGGTTCCATCTCCCTCAGTAGGAGGTCGGCAATCTGATCACCGTGCTTGTCAATGAATTTATGACACTTGGTGGCCAATGGTTTTTTAAACTTATCGCAGGAGTGCTCTAGGGCATCTTTAATTTCTGACTTGGTAGCGTGCTTTCCGATTCTCTTCTCCACTGTTTTGACCACCTCTTCGCAAAGCAAACAATTCGGTGCAACGCCGAAGTCCTTGTCAAAAGTAATCTGTATGGGCATCTCGTTGCTGGAGTCGATTTCATTAGCATCCATATCCTCACTGTTGCTATTGGACGACTTATCGGTTTCTACGCTATCTAAAAGGCTGATGCCCATTTCGTCCAAATAGTCCTTGGTCTTGGGACACAATTTCAGCTGTACACAAATCTCTTCTGGCTTGAAGTCAGTGATAAGCATGTCAATAAGCTCATTGGAGTAGGTGTCTACAAAGTCCACGCACTCGTCACGCAGTTTGTTGGGTAGATGCGTGCAGAGGCCGTCAAGAACCTTTTTGATATTATCCTTGGACTTGTTGTCGCGTATCTTTATCTGAGCCTGCTCAACGGCAAACAAACAAAGTGGGCATGTTGGCTTGTCCTGTTGATCACTGGATACCGTTTGTGGGTGGAATACCTCGATATCATCATGATTTTCAACGTTGCGTGGACACATCTGCATCATGGGACACACGCTGCGCGGATTCAGACCCTGGATAAGCAGTGCAATGACCGCATCGCCGTACATTTCCACAAAATTGCGGCATTGACCGGCCACTCCGTGTGGTAGCTTAGTGCAAATGTTTTCGACAGTATGCTTAATTTCGTCGTCGGTAGCAGGCGTGGCCAGGGTTTCCTGTATAAAATGCAACAAATACTCGCAGATGGTGCACATTTCACCACCCTGCACAAGCAAGCCAGGATTGGCGGCACCCATCAAATGATCAATCGGCAGCTGCATGTCCATAATTTCTTTCTGGCTAAATTTGGGCTCGTTGGCGCCCAACTTCTTGATAGTGACGTGCACCTCGGCGGGTGCAATAGCTGGCAGCAACGGCATAATGGGCGCATCATGGGTCAGATCCAGGCCCTTGGGGCAAACTCCAATGAGGAAACAAGTGCCATTGGCATCCAGATTATTGACTAATGTACTGTAGATGACATGATAGTACTGATCGACAATACTTATGCACTCATCCTTGAAGCCACGCGACTGTTTGCAGAAGCCCTCAAGAACCTGCTTAAATTCCGTCTCTGTGGTGTTTGCTACAAGTACATCACGCAAATGTTTTACGAGCTGCTCGCACAGCGCACAGGGAATATCGTCGTCAACGCCCTCCAGAGTAGTCAGTGCTTCCGGTTCCTTCACATCATCCTCGTGTTGATGGTAACGGGCCGCACACACGCCAGACAAATGGCACAGACCATTTGTTTTTAAATGCTGCTGAACATGCTCGTACATATCATTGAAATAGGTCAGTACCAAGTTGGCGCAGCCATCGGAGAAACTGGACATGGTGCCGCACCAGTGCAGCAGTTGCTCCACCATGTTGTCGCGATTGGAAGACTCGAAGTTGCTCTGCATCTTGCGAGTGAGCAGATTGCAATTTCCACAGGAGAGCTGTGTCAAGTCGGTCTCCTTGTTGACCACCTTTTTGTTATCATTATTATCGACCACTACTTGCTCTTCCTTAAGCGAGCCGTCCAGAGCTGCCTGATATGCGTTATGCAGCAAGTCATCGATGCGAGCGCTGTTGCATAAACCAGCTACAGAGCAAACTTGCTGCAAGGGAAATAAGTAAAAAGTGAAAAGGAAACGTTAAACGTATATTTTATCAGCTACTCACATCGGGATTCATCTGCGAGGACAACGCCTCGACTAGATCGGGAATAAAGTTGTCAGCCAGGGTAATGCACTCCTTTCGCACTAGCTTGATGGGTATCAGGTTGCAAGAGCCCTCAAAAACCTCTTTAATCTCCTCCTCGGTTTCATTGCTGCGCAGCTGATCGCGCGCCTGTGTTACCATATCCTTGCATATCTGACAAATGGAATCGGTGTCAACGGGCACTATTCGTTTTTCCCACACGGTCTGAATGCAATGACGGGTAGCCTTGCAGTCCTTTGCATTGCTGCCAAATGAAAAAATGCCGTAACGATTAGCCAGCTATACGAGAAAAAAAATACAACGTCCGCAATTGGGAAAAACAAATGCATCAAATGACCCGCATTCATAATCGCTTTCGCGCAGTCAGCAAAGATCAGAGTCCAAAGCATTGAATGAACCCTCGCAACATAAGCTAGTTGAATGCACCCGCAGCAAATATTTCATATACACATTCAGATATCGTTTACCAGACTGCGAGGATTATGTTTATTTGCTTAACCATTCAAAACAATAATCTGATATTGCTGTGAACACTTAACGAATTATATATATTCCCCAAAAATTTCTGTACAATTTATGAATTTTGATTTTCATTATAGTCTGTGGGCACAGTAATGTGCTAATTTTTATTTAACAAACAAATATTGTATACTGGACAAGATAAGCAGACATAGTCGTACATGGCATATAAATATATTATATAAGTTTATAAATGTATGTATTTATACATCTGCGACTTCTTGTTGCAAAAAATTTGCGACGTTTTTTGTTAATATTTACAATTTTCGTTTGACAAGGAAAACAAAGACGAGTTAAGCGATCTCGTGTGCACATAAATAAATTAATAAATAAACAAAGAAATAAATGCTAATGGAAAAATACTAAGTAAAATGGATTGATTGCAAAAATATTGTCCAGTGTATGAAAGCTGAAACGCTGTTTACTCAAGCAATGGCGAGAAAATGCAATTATTTGTTGGCTATGGCGTGTTTATAGCGGGTATAACATATAGCTCTTTCAACTTAGGGCAAATATATATATGTATTATTGCAATTTGGATTAGTCAGAAATCGAAGTAATTTTCGTGATAAGAGAGCGTCAAATGTTAAATGTGGTATATTCAGTTCCATCTATGACGAATAGTTCCCGATGTCTCAGCGAAAGTCGGACAAAGAGCAGCCCTAAGATGTGACCAGGCTTTACTTAAACATGATTAGTCATCAAAATTTGCGGCTTATTATGCAGTTTACAGATATGTTTATTCACTTGCGCATATGTAATCAGTTGGCTGAGCTGGAATTGGTTTTGTTAATTGAATTTAAAACGGAATCGAAACGGAAAACAAACAAAAAAGACAACGCTTACAAAGAGAGTGACAGACGAAAGAGAGAAACTGACAAAGGGAGAAAGAGCGAGAGAGAAAGAGAATGTGTGCAAAGTGTAGCTAAAGTTTGCACGTATGACAAGAATTCACGTAGAAAAGAGGAATAATGCTAAAAAAAAAAAAAATAGAGCAACTGTAAACGGCATAACAAAGGTTATCGACGGCACAAACAGTATGGCGGCTCCGCCTTAGACTCCGCGCTGATTGCCTTCCTTATCAAACAGTGCTTCACAACGAACAATAAAAACAGGCAAAGAAAAAATGACAAACCCACAACGGGTTAATAACTGCGTAGTGGCTATTGTTTTAAATATTTATTTAATGCAAGCGCGGGAGCTGTTTTTTCTTGCCGATGACAAAGCGTTTTTGCAATAGATTTTAGACTCACCTAAGATTGTCACACCAGTAGGAGGGGCCCCAGGTGCATTTACTGGCACCAAGCAGCGGCTGCTCAGCAATTGGCGTCGACGAGACGCAAACGCCTAAAATGGCAAGAAAAACACAATGACATATTGAATACCAAAATACGTACATACATTTAAGTATATGAAAATATCTATTGGCCAATATTAAACAAATACGCAATATTTACTAGCAACGTCACAACTTACCAAAAACAAACACAGCCAAAATGGCCAAAAGGCCTGCGTTACGCATCTTGTTTTGTAGGTGTGTGCTATTAGCACTTGTGTATATTATTGGGCTAATTTAACTTTTACTTGCTCTTTTAACACTCCAGCTGCAACTGCAACTGCACTGAATGAATATTTGATGATTAATGAGGAAAACGAATTGCGTTTGCTTTGGTTTTGTTAATTTGCAGTGTGACCAAGTTCGCAAACCAAAAAAATTCTATCGATATGCCTACACAAAGTAAGCCGATAGTTTTTCACACAGTCGCAGTGCTGGAGGTTCGGCCAATTTAATTTTAAATTTCTCTTCTCAACATTATAACAAAAATTTATCAGATGACATTTTAGTCAACGTTATTTTATTTATAATTTTTGCATAAATATTCCTTTAGTTCATATCTCTATTATATCGATAAAGTTAGATGGAGTCCTTTTTGTCGTAAAATGAATTAATCGACTTGCTAATTCAATATTTTGCTATTAAAAAACGTAATATTTACTCAGCAAATACACTAAATATTTCCATAAACTTTACATAGGGCTGCCCTATAGCTGAAAAACTGTCAATGGCGCTACCACATCGTTAAATTATGTGATACCTAAATGCTAGACATGCATGTGGACGCGGGTTCGAACCCAGCTGGGATTAAAACATAAAAAACTTTTTGATTGTTATTATTTTCATTAGAAAAAAAAATACAATAATTATACCACCAATATATCTTAAATTACTAATGGAAATATTTGAATTCAGCCCTTGATAGGGCAAAATGTGTCATATCATCAGGTATTCATTTAAGTGTTAAATGTTTGAGCTTTGTTTTAATTGTTTTTAAATGCTTAACTAAATAAATTATGGCAATAACCATCGACAAATGTTCTTGAACTTTTGCTCAAGTGTTTAGCTCTCGTAAATGTTTAACCACACACACATGCAACGCTCAGCGTTCAACCATGCATTCAAATGCTATTGTAATTATAGCCAACAGAATTCTAATAATTGATTGATGTTTGATATAAGTTTTTTACATCGTAAAGTTTTTCATCTTGGGAAAATGCATTTTAATTAGCCGAAAAGTTCACACAATATGAATATAAACAAATCTTTGCTTATCAAAATGCAATTTTTCTATTAATTTGGAAAAAACTGATTTGATGTGGGAATGTTTGAGCATTCTCAGTGGCTGCTGCTGATGTTGTTGTTGTTGATATTGAGCTCCCCAGCTGAAAGTCGAGGTCAGCTAGTGGCCGCTGTTGATTGAATTGGCAAGCGAAATGCCAAATGCAGTCACCGATCTATCTAACCAATATGTATAAAAATCTGTGTCAAGCCGGCGAAGGAAACTTGAAACTCGACTTGGCCTGGCCAAGGTTATGTTGCCAGCCAGCTGCTGGCGATGGTATTTAGTTCTTTACCAGATTTAATTGCAGCAGCGCCAACAAATTGAAGCTGCATTTGACCATTGACAATGAATTGCGAGGTAATTGACAATGGGTAGGCTTTTTAGAATTTATCTAGGCATTGTCTAGGTTGAGCTAAAATTTGTTTCATTAAAAATGCATAAAAACTTTAAAGGGGGAGCCTAGTTTTCACACGGTGGAGAGTTACCATTGCCAAAGACCAGTTGGGTTTTGGGGGAGCTCGGCTTCAATTTTTGATGGTTCGTTGCGTGACATACTTAGTTGGCGACGGACCGAGAGAGATTGTACGCTTGTAACCCTAATTACGTGCGTAATTACGAACGACCAGCCAACGAGACACAGTTAGAGAAACCTTAAGTGCGTCACATACACTTTTCATCTAATAGTAAATTGTTTTATTAGGTTGTAAAACTTGTGCAACTTCCTTCATCTAGTGGTATAATCAGCCCGACGGCTGCAACTCGAGTCGAGGCGTGTAAAGCATTGCTAAGCTGCCAAACGGCAATCATTACCGCCGGATTATTCTTTGCCTAATACTGTTGCCCTGAGACCAAGATCAGAGCCCATGCGGAAATGAACTTGACCTTATCGACGATGCTGCCAGCCCCACAGCAAGCAACAGTTGCTAGCACCACTAGCGGTTATGCGAATGGCGTAAAACAAAACTTGAGTTAATCAATTCAGCTGCAACAACAACACATTTTAGAGATTTGTTCGTATTTGTGAGTCAAATTTGCTGCTGCGGCTAATGATAATAAACCAACGGAACACCACAGCACCAATAACAAAGGCCAGGAACCAAACCAATAACAGTTTCTACTTATAAACACACATCAACGATAAAGAGTAGTCGTCAACGTAGGGGCTTCGCCTCTTCCGTAACACTCAATGCAAGAAGATCAAGTTCAAGAGTTTTTATATTGTAGAAGCAAACTAGAAGAGATGCATGGACAATGACCGCATTGATGTTCGCTACACGCTCGTTCGCTTTGACCCAGTGTCCCAACAGCTTATTCAGCGGTAGTCACGTATTCAATACGTTTTTCACACAAATATATATATATATTAATTCGGGACGGCGCGAACGCCATTCCCGGCTACCAAAAATTACACGCACGAGTTATTCACATTAGGAATAATCGCAAAGGTCAACTCAGCCGAAAGTGCAATGACCAAGCCTCGCTCCGGAGGAACCGCCTTCGTGATCACGGTTAACCTCTACGCCAGGTAAGTATGCTTTTCTCCTCTCTGGAACAGCCACTCCAATATGACAGTGCTAGAACCGTTTGAGAATTATTGTGTGCGCGCAAGTGAAATTTTCTACAGCTAACAAAACGGCAAAGCATACGTTACCAACAATTGGGTATGTGTGCGTGTGCTTGTGTATGCACCAACAGGCAAACATATTTCTGCTTGTGTATAAGAGAGGGATGTCCGCTTACAGGCAGCGGAAAGAAAGAAAATTATTAATGTAATGTTAGTAGTATGGTTAATTTTTCTAGAAATCACTTATTTTGTTGAAATTAAATAATTCGTTTTATCAGTTTTTATTTTTGATAAGCATTTGTTCTTGAATATAAATCTTGAATGGATTTATCAGCTATCAGATATTGAATGTATATACATATGTATGTATGTATGTACAAATGCTGGGATTTGTTGTGCTTTCTTATCTTATAATCGGCCTTTGCCATTCCTATATGTATCCAGAAGTTTGGTATTTACCTATATTGATTGTTACCAAAAAAATAACAATAACAAGTGTACAAAAGAATTTTAGTGATATATATTTAGTATACATATATTTATAAATTATATCATTTCATCAGATATTTCGTTGAAATATAAATAATCTATTCGTTATATTTAGATTCTTATACTTTCTTTTCACTATCATGCAATGCAGTAAAACTAAGAGTATATTTATATAGGAACCACTTTCAACCCTTAACATTGACTCTCTCTTTCCTCATTGCAAGGAATCTAGTTGCTTTTGCTACTTTCACTTGTGTAGACATTTTCACAATATAATTCTCAAACTGTTGTGGCGCTGTCGTATTGGAGTGGCTTTTCCAGAGCGGAGAAAAGCATACTTACCTGGCGTAGAGGTTAACCGTGATCACGAAGGCGGTTCCTCCGGAGCGAGGCTTGGTCATTGCACTTTCGGCTGAGTTGACCTTTGCGATTATTCCTAATGTGAATAACTCGTGCGTGTAATTTTTGGTAGCCGGGAATGGCGTTCGCGCCGTCCCGAATTAATAAATACATAAATTTAGATAAAAAGGTTGTGTGGACAATACATGCTAAAGGTGCACTTGTAACAGCTGCACAAATTACATCAGATCTAAGATTTACTTTAGCTTATTAAAGCGCTGGGTAATATAACTTTTGATACATCATTTGCAATTCCGTACAGAACTTAAACTTCTTCGCTAAGCGAGAATTATGTTTTGTGAATTTTCTTAAACAAAAGGGGAAACCCCGCCATCATCTGTGCAGATCTCTATTTTTAGGCAATCTGGTTATTCAATTGTGGACAGTCATATGTGTTATGTTCATAAAGTCGAAAATACAGACGTGAATGAAAACATGGTAGTAAAGGATTACTGTCTTAAGTGTCGATGTGCTGAACGCGCAGTGACTTGCTTATTTGACAGAGCTGGTTTTTATTAGAGAAGCTGTTAATTTGTGGCCAAATTTTACTTCCTTTATTGTGGCTGCAACGTGATAGAACAATTATTTTTTTGGGGAAGTGCGCATAAAACAGTTTATAGACTGAGCCATATTGATATTTATCTAGATACTCGCAGGTATAACACGAGCTAGTATCTATTATAATAGGCAAGGTCATATGAAGAGCATGAAGGTAAAGCTTAGATATTTTTTGATACATTCTACATTATATTCACGTTCTCTTCTCTTTTCTGCTCGTTTGATTGTCTCATCAATTTCAGTAAGAAAGTAATTTAAAACTTGTTTGATTTTTATTCAAAGTAGCCTTTGTTAATTCGAGTTGTTTTTAATTTTTTTTTCGATTCGAATATGCCAGACGTTCTGTTGAACCCAAGTCTGCACATTTAATTGGTAAATTTATTCAAGAATATTTCGATGGATCGTTTTAATAATAAACAAAAAAATGTTTTTGTTCTTAGGTTTCTGTTTATGCTTTAAGTTGGCAAAAATCAATAAATTATATAGTCGACTAGAAGATGTCTTTACCAACAATTATATTTATTAAAAAAATGAATATCTATAATATAAATTCGACAATATCATGGAAAATATACCTACTTTTAAGCACTTCTCATATTTGTATAAAGTAACAATATGCCTCCCTTCTTGGATCCTCCGATAATTGCTGGGTATAAAAACGATACCACAAACTTAAAATTCGATTGAATAATAGTTAATTTTAAGGTAAATAACACACGTTAGACTTCAAGAGAACTTGATTTGTTACGAAATTGTTGTGAGATAGAATACAATGCGGAACCAGTTATACAGTGCTTTAATTGCTGGCAGCCCTGACCATGAACATATTTTCCATTATACTAAGCCCGCTGCCAAAATGTTTTGATTTGGAAAACTTGTCTACGACCTTGGACCACTAAGACTAAGAGTTAAAGCGTAATTATCTAATAAAGTTCTAATTGCGAATGGCCAATTGCGGATTTGTTGAGGTAGGTGGAAGGCAGAGTAGAGAAAAAGTCGACTTGATGCGAGTTTTAAAATTCTGACCACTCGAAATAAACGCTCCAATTTTAGTGGCGGACATGACACAGTCAAGTTGTTTTAATTGCACTCATATAATGAAATGTGTATATACTGCTTGTCTACCTGACAGACGGGCAGCCCAAGATTTTA